TTTTTTGGAAGGCACATTTCCTTTTATTATACTTAGAAAAACAATTATTGCTTTTGAAATACAAATATTTGCAGTCATGTCTGCCCGTCTTATTGAATTCTTTCTACACATGTATAGTGTCTCAAATTACTGACTGCACAAATCAAAGCAAACCTTCTTATCAACCTGTTGGACACATATTACAAGCTCAAAATGATTATTCTCACATTGTTTTAAAGCAGGGTCTCTCTCCAACACGTCGCTCGCGAGCTATCAGTAGCTCGTGGCCTGATTGGTGTTAGCTCGCCAAGGGGCCGTTCACATATCGCGCTCACATATTTTGCGCGCTCAAGTTCGTTATTTCAAATGTAGGCGCGCGGCAAGCGCGCTCATAATTGAAGCGACGCGCTCATTTTTTCCAGGCGCAGTATGTTTGTACTTCGCGGTTGTCTATGACAACTATTGACAACAAACCCACCGTGTCACGAGACTATCTATGGTAGCCCATAAGGGATACATTTTTTTTTTTTTTTTTTAAACGCGGCACACGCAACGACGGGCCGCACTAACATTAAACTTTAATGTCAAGTAGGGGGCCACAAAATATCACCCTGCGGGCCGCAAATGGCCCGCGGACCGCGAGTTTGAGACCACTGATGTAGATAGTTAGTTTGTATTTAGATACAACTTGTTACTATACTGATACTACTTGTTACTTCAATAAATTGGAACATTTTAAGCTTGTTACGTATTTCATTAGCATTGTGTCGGGGCGATGGGGGCAGTGGGGCTTGAAAATTCCCCCTTGTCCAAAGTGGGGAATGACCGAAAAAGTTTGAGAACCACTGGGTTAGGCTAACCTTGGCCTATTTAACCTATATTCAAATACACATTGTGAAAGTTAACTTGACTTCCTAAGAATTTAATAGGTCAGATGATCCACTTAAGGTAAAAAAAATACCCCAGTTGAACAATAACCATGTTATTGATTATCACTAACTAATAAGTTCCTAATGTTATGAGAACCCTAGCAAATCTGCTATTGTAATAGTGCGGCACGATTAATCTTATCGCAATCGTAATCGCGATGTCAAGCCTGTGCGATTATATGGTGCAAAATGCTGCGATTTTATGTAAAATAAACAATGGGCTGTTAACGCAATTAACGCAGCATCTGTTATTTTTTGTCATCCTTTGGCTAGTGTTACATGATAATGCTCTCATGCGATTGCTTAAAACCATTCATGCGAGACAAGTCAAAAGAGAGCGCGCTGAATGTCCGACTGTGACTCACAGAAAGACGCGCCAGAATACAGTTCTCTTTCGCGCTTGAACGAACAACAACACACACAATTATGCCAAAATGTCGTTTGTCGAGTATCTTCATAACATAAGAGCAGTCTTATGATGGACGTATAGAGTTGTGAGAGGATGAGGCGCATGTGAGATCCGTGTCTCTGTCAGCAGCGGCTGCTCTTAAAGGGCCGGCAGCCAAAGCTTTCTGTCAGTAAAGTTAATCACAGAACAAAGGGGACAGAGAAAATTACTCACTGCTCTTGACTAAAGAACTTATGTAGCTTTAATAAGGATTAGTCTATTTATTATTTATGCAGCGCAGAGTCGCAGACTGTTTGATAACTTTATTAAATTTCTGCATACCTGTTAGACAGGAAGGGCACAGGTAAATATGACATGTCATTTATAATGGGTTTATGTGAGGATTATTTGAAGTTCACTTAAATTAAAAGCTGTTATATTTTTTGACGTCTAATAAATGTTTAAAAAAAAAATTATAGCTTTCAATTGTAATGATGGAATCACTGTAATGTTGGATGGCTCTAATTAATGTTTTAAATGGGGGTGGATTAATTTTTATCCAGACATCAATGGCTTAGATGTTATCAATCATTTAGTTGTTGTTGCTAGTTTGAGTTGAGAAATACACATTTCAGAATTATCACTAATCTGTGTGTGCATTTTGCTTTAGAACCTAGCAAGTTGACTCATGAAACCATTTGTTTATTATATCGCAATCGCATATTCCAATTGCAATATTGACCTCAATAATCACAATGACATTTTCCCCAAATCGTGCAGCCCTATATTGTAATAATAATAGTAATAATAATAAATCATAATCATAACTGTTTTTATTAGAATGACATGCAACTAGTTTGCTCTGAATATGAACCAAAAATAAATAAACCAAAAAAGAAACAGCCAGCTTACCAATAACGTGTTCCATTCCATGTGAAGTCAAACAAGTAGTTGCCTTGAACATCTTTAACATGTTTACTTTGAGAGAGAATCCCACGGTATTCAACAACAAAGGTGGATGGTTCAATGTGCTCAAGTGCAAACACACCTCTCCCTAAAAGGGCAAAAAAATATATAATAATACAAATAAAACATGAATCCAAGTGCACCTATATGTTACACAGCTAACCAACCTATCCTTTTAAAGAGTTAAATCCTGTAAAACTGTGTAATGTAATATGAGGTGCAGGAAATAAAAAAAATAAAAAAAATAATCAAGCATTGGTTTTCACTGTGATATAGCCTACTAGTTGAATTTGGTTACACTATTCTCTGTATACATAGTTTTATGTATTTATTTTAAAATAATAATTATAAAAAAATTGTTTAAAGTTTTTTTTTTTTCATCTCTTAACCTTTATGAAAATGAGCGGCTTACCCAAGGGTAAAATGTGTGAATTTGAAAGATCATGTCCAGACTGCCAGCAATAGGCCTACTTTTAATTCTTACAAGTGCATGCCTACTTTATGATTTGATTTGCCTGCAGTCTGAACATAGTCAAATTGCCTTGTGGTGCACAATTTACCTTTGAATGTGTTGATTTGTCGTCCCTCAATGAAGGCTTTGTCTTTGCCCGACAATATGTGTTCTTTTGCATCCTGCTCAGGTTTTATTCTCTTCTTTCTTAAAATGTTGACTGAAAACATTCCAGACAACATAATTAGTATGTATTTATAAATATATAAATATATATATATATAGATATATAGATAGATAGATAGATAGATAGATAGATAGATAGATAGATAGATAGATAGATAGATATGCTTTATATGCAGTACATTATTGTCAGACTGTAGTCTATATCAATAAATACAACATTTTACACAGAAATAGTTGATCAGTGAGGTTTTGAGGCTTGTTACTTTTGATAAGAAACAGTCTCCGATTTCAAATTCAGTCCATTTTAATACCATTTTATCACTCTTTAATGTGGCGCCTCAGATCAAATGAAGCTAAACTCGTTACTTAGAAAAATTAACTATAGAGAGAAAGTTTTAGAAAATGTTACATGTATTACACCTGATTTACATTAAAATAATAAATGTAAAATCGAATTGGAAATAGAATCGAAAGCACGTGAATTAAAATTGAATGGAATCATAAAATGTCTGCTAATATCCAGCCCTAAAATGAATCAACCAGATAATTTTGGCAAGTCATTCTAATGACAGTAACGTTACATTAATGAAAGTATACTTTTACATTAGTCTCGTTTCTGTTTATTTAATATATTTCTGTATCTTACTGTATTAAACTGTAAATTCATCCACCAACTTTACCAGTCATCACGATGACAACATAGATTTGATTTATTTCAAAATGTAAATTAATTCTCTCAAGCATCCATGGAGATGTATCTTTCATCAACTAATACTAATACTAGTATCCAACTGCTTATGGACTTATATTAGCCACGTTTAGTGGCCACGTTTAAAGTAATGTAACTAACGTTATTAAAAACTGTCTGACTCATGACACTTAACTCCATAAAGGTAGAATATATAAATAAACGCACTTACCTTCCTCGTGATAAAGTGAAAATCTCCCACTATAGCTCGTCAACTTCGCTCGAATTCTGCTAATTAATCTTTCATGATGATGATTAATCTTCTGATTAATCACACGGTCACACCACACGTCTGCGATAGAAGATCAGAGGCGCAGGCGCGCTGACTTTGACGGATGTGAAATGCAGCCAATCACTGACGAGGATTCCAGCAGCCAATCACTGACGAGGATTCCAGCAGCCAATCACTGACGAGGATTCCAGCGTTCCACCAATGAATCGCGCTTGGGCGTGGTCTGGGTGTATGAAATGTGTATGATACTGCAGTAGCGTCGAATTTCACATAGAGGGAGATTATACACTCTGAGCATACTCTGGCACACACTGAAAAACGGGTACAACGGATTTATAAGGACATATTGAGAAAAAGCGGGAGGTGGTTAGGCGCAGCCTGATAAGCCTTTCTACACTGCTCGACTTATGAGGACAGTAGTGCTGTCCTCGTAGTTACGGTATGTCCTCATAGAGTCGGTATGTATCCATGGTTTTTGTCCTCATAATCCGGTCGCACCAACGCACGCACACACACACACACACTAACCCGACCCCTAAACCTACCCATCACACACACACACACACACACACACACACACCCGACCCCTAAACCTACCCATCACACACACACACACACCCGACCCCTAAACCTACCCATCACACACACACACACACACACACACACACACACTAACCCGACCCCTAAACCTACCCATCACACACACACACACACGCACTCACTGACACACACATTCTTTCTCTCACACACACTCACGGACACACTAACCTGACCCCTAAACCTACCCATCACACACACACTATCTTTCTCACACACACACACACAGACACTCACGCACACCAACCTGACCCCTAAACCTACCCATCACACACACACACACACTATCTTTCTCACACACACACACACACTTACGCACACTAACCTGACCCCTAAACCTACCCATCACACACACACACACACACACTAACCCGACCCCTAAACCTACCCATCACACACACACACACACACACACACACACACTAACCCGACCCCTAAACCTACCCATCACACACACATAGACACGCACACTATCTCACTCACTCACACACACACACACACACACACACAGCTTCAGGACTCACCCACACACATCCGGCCGTCAGGAGAGAGTTTATACCCGTCCAGACACACACACACAAACGAGCCCACCGTGTTGATGCAGTTTCCATTGCGACACAAGCCCCGGAGCGCCGTGCACTCGTCCGTGTCTGAACCACACGCACAAAACAGACGTTAACACAAACACATTCAAATGAATAAATATTTGTGTGTGTGTGTGTGTGTGTGTGTGTGCATGTACCGATGCAATCGCTGTTGTGTGACAGCTGGAATCCTGGGTAACACAAGCAGTTGTAGGAGCCCACAGTGTTCTTACAGGTTCCATTTCCACACGGCTGACGCTCGCACTCGTCCACATCTGAACACAGAACACAGATGGTCAGTTAGTTATGAACACAGATGGTCAGTTAGTTATGAACACAGATGGTCAGTTAGTTATGAACAGAGATGGTCAGTTAGTTATGAACACAGGCGGATGGTTAGTTATGAACACAGATGGTCAGTTAGTTATGAACACAGATGGTCAGTTAGTTATGAACACAGATGGTCAGTTAGTTATGAACACAGGCGGATGGTTAGTTATGAACACAGATGGTCAGTTAGTTATGAACACAGGCGGATGGTTAGTTATGAACACAGATGGTCAGTTAGTTATGAACACAGGCGGATGGTTAGTTATGAACACAGATGGTCAGTTAGTTATGAACACAGGCGGATGGTTAGTTATGAACACAGATGGTCAGTTAGTTATGAACACAGGCGGATGGTTAGTTATGAACACAGATGGTCAGTTAGTTATGAACACAGGCGGATGGTTAGTTATGAACACAGATGGTCAGTTAGTTATGAACACAGGCGGATGGTTAGTTATGAACACAGATGGTCAGTTAGTTATGAACACAGACGGACAGTTAGTTATGAACAGAGATGGTCAGTTAGTTATGAACACAGATGGTCAGTTAGTTATGAACACAGGCGGATGGTTAGTTATGAACACAGATGGTCAGTTAGTTATGAACACAGATGGTCAGTTAGTTATGAACACAGATGGTCAGTTAGTTATGAACACAGGCGGATGGTTAGTTATGAACACAGATGGTCAGTTAGTTATGAACACAGACGGACAGTTAGTTATGAACAGAGATGGTCAGTTAGTTATGAACACAGATGGTCAGTTAGTTATGAACACAGGCGGATGGTTAGTTATGAACACAGATGGTCAGTTAGTTATGAACACAGATGGTCAGTTAGTTATGAACACAGATGGTCAGTTAGTTATGAACACAGGCGGATGGTTAGTTATGAACACAGATGGTCAGTTAGTTATGAACACAGACGGACAGTTAGTTATGAACACAGATGGTCAGTTAGTTATGAACACAGGCGGATGGTTAGTTATGAACACAGATGGTCAGTTAGTTATGAACACAGATGGTCAGTTAGTTATGAACACAGATGGTCAGTTAGTTATGAACACAGATGGTCAGTTAGTTATGAACACAGACGGATGGTTACTTATGAACACAGGCGGATGGTTAGTTATGAACACAGGCGGATGGTTAGTTATGAACACAGATGGTCAGTTGGTTATGAACACAGATGGTCAGTTAGTTATGAACACAGGCGGATGGTTAGTTATGAACACAGATGGTCAGTTAGTTATGAACACAGATGGTCAGTTAGTTATGAACACAGATGGTCAGTTAGTTATGAACACAGACGGATGGTTACTTATGAACACAGGCGGATGGTTAGTTATGAGCACAGGCGGATGGTTAGTTATGAACACAGACGGACAGTTAGTTATGAACACAGATGGTCAGTTAGTTATGAACACAGATGGTCAGTTAGTTATGAGCACAGGCGGATGGTTAGTTATGAACACAGACGGACAGTTAGTTATGAACACAGATGGTCAGTTAGTTATGAACACAGACGGACAGTTAGTTATGAACACAGATGGTCAGTTAGTTATGAACACAGACGGATGGTTACTTATGAACACAGGCGGATGGTTAGTTATGAACACAGGCGGATGGTTAGTTATGAACACAGATGGTCAGTTGGTTATGAACACAGATGGTCAGTTAGTTATGAACACAGACGGACAGTTAGTTATGAACACAGACGGACAGTTAGTTATGAACACAGACGGACAGTTAGTTATGAACACAGACGGACAGTTAGTTATGAACACAGACGGTCAGTTAGTTATGAACACAGACGGATGGTTACTTATGAACACAGGCGGATGGTTAGTTATGAACACAGATGGACAGTTAGTTATGAACACAGATGGTCAGTTAGTTATGAACACAGATGGTCAGTTAGTTATGAACACAGACGGACAGTTAGTTATGAACACAGACGGACAGTTAGTTATGAACACAGACGGACAGTTAGTTATGAACACAGACGGACAGTTAGTTATGAACACAGATGGTCAGTTAGTTATGAACACAGATGGTCAGTTAGTTATGAACACAGGCGGATGGTTAGTTATGAACACAGGTGATTGGTTAGTTATGAACACAGACGGACAGTTAGTTATGAACACAGATGGTCAGTTAGTTATGAACACAGGCGGATGGTTAGTTATGAACACAGGTGATTGGTTAGTTATGAACACAGATGGTCAGTTAGTTATGAACACAGGCGGATGGTTAGTTATGAACACAGGTGATTGGTTAGTTATGAACACAGACGGACAGTTAGTTATGAACACAGACGGACAGTTAGTTATGAACACAGATGGTCAGTTAGTTATGAACACAGACGGATGGTTACTTATGAACAAAGGCGGATGGTTAGTTATGAACACAGGCGGATGGTTAGTTATGAAAACAGATGGACAGTTAGTTATGAACACAGATGGTCAGTTAGTTATGAACACAGATGGTCAGTTAGTTATGAACACAGACGGACAGTTAGTTATGAACACAGACGGACAGTTAGTTATGAACACAGACGGACAGTTAGTTATGAACACAGACGGACAGTTAGTTATGAACACAGATGGTCAGTTAGTTATGAACACAGACGGATGGTTACTTATGAACACAGGCGGATGGTTAGTTATGAACACAGGCGGATGGTTACTTATGAACACAGGTGATTGGTTAGTTATGAACACAGGCGGATGGTTAGTTAGTTATGAACACAGCCGGATGGTCAGTTAAAAACACAGGCGGATGGTTAGTTAGTTATGAACACAGGCGGATGGTTAGTTAGTTATGAACACAGCCGGATGGTTAGTTATGAACACAGGCGGATGGTTAGTTAGTTATGAACACAGGCGGATGGTTAGTTATGAACACAGGCGGATGGTTAGTTATGAACACAGGCGGATGGTTAGTTAAAAACAGTGGCGGATGGTTAGTTAGTTATGAACACAGGTGATTGGTTAGTAATGAACACAGGCGGATGGTTAGTTATGAACACAGGCGGATGGTTACTTATGAACACAGGTGATTGGTTAGTTATGAACACAGGCGGATGGTTAGTTATGAACACAGATGGACAGTTAGTTATGAACACAGGCGGATGGTTAGTTATGAACACAGGCGGATGGTTAGTTAAAAACACAGGCGGATGGTTAGTTAGTTATGAACACAGGTGATTGGTTAGTTATGAACACAGGCGGATGGTTAGTTAGTTATGAACACAGCCGGATGGTTAGTTATGAACACAGGCGGATGGTTAGTTATGAACACAGGCGGATGGTTACTTATGAACACAGGTGATTGGTTAGTTATGAACACAGGTGATTGGTTAGTTATGAACACAGGCGGATGGTTAGTTAGTTATGAACACAGGGGGATGGTTAGTTATGAACACAGGCGGATGGTTAGTTATGAACACAGGTGGATGGTTAGTTATGAACACAGGCGGATGGTTAGTTATGAGCACAGGCGGATGGTTAGTTATGAACACAGGCGGATGGTTAGTTATGAACACAGACGGATGGTTAGTTATGAACACAGGCGGATGGTTAGTTATGAACACAGGCGGATGGTTACTTATGAACACAGGTGATTGGTTAGTTATGAACACAGGCGGATGGTTAGTTATGAACAGGCGGATGGTTAGTTATGAACACAGGCGGATGGTTAGTTATGAACACAGGCGGATGGTTAGTAATGAACACAGGCGGATGGTTAGTTATGAACACAGGCGGATGGTTAGTTATGAACACAGGCGGCTGGTTACTTATGAACACAGGTGATTGGTTAGTTATGAACACAGGCGGATGGTTAGTTATGAACACAGATGGACAGTTAGTTATGAACACAGGCGGTTGGTTAGTTATGAACAGAGGTGGATGGTTAGTTATGAACACATGCGGATGGTTAGTTATGAGCACAGGCAGTTGGTTAGTTATGAACACAGGCAGATGGTTAGTTATGAACACAGGCGGATGGTTAGTTATGAGCACAGGCGGATGGTTAGTTATGAACACAGGCGGATGGTTAGTTATGAACACAGGCGGATGGTTAGTTAGTTATGAACACAGATAGTTAGTTATAAACATGGACAGTAAATTATGAACACAAGTGGTTGGTTAGTTATGAGCACAGGCGGATGGTTAGTTATGAACACAGGCAGATGGTTAGTTATGAACACAGGCGGATGGTTAGTTAGTTATGAACACAGATAGTTAGTTATAAACATGGACAGTAAATTATGAACACAAGTGGTTGGTTAGTTATGAGCACAGGTGTTTAGTTAGTAATGAAAACAGATGGTTGGTTAGTTATGAATATAGACAGTCAGTTAGTAATAAAAACAGATGGTTGGTTAGTTATAAACACAGACCATAGGCAGTTAGTTAGTTATCTACATAAGGATGTGGCACAGATGGACAGACAGTTAATTAGTTATGAACACAGACGGTTAGTTGTTTATACACACAGCTGGTTGGTTAGTTATGCACATGGACAACAGACTGTAAGTTAGTTATGAACACAGACCACAGGTGTTTAGTTACGGTAGTTTTGAAAACAGACGGTCAGTTAATTATGAAAACAGACGGTTAGTTAGTTATGAACACAGGCGGATGGTTAGTTATGAACAGACCACAGATAGTTAGTCATCTACATGAGGATGCACACAGATGGACAGACAGATGGGTGTGTGAAGTTGATCTCTCACCAATACACAGGTCTGGGGTGGATGTGAAGCCGTTGGGGCAGAGGCAGCGGTAACTACCCACCGTGTCGATACACTGACCCGGACTGCAGATGTTTGGATTCTCAGCACACTCGTTACGATCTGAGAGAGATCACATCAAATCACACTTTAACTTCAGGTGCAATATGTCTAAAAGCAGAACTGGGCTCTGAGTTCGGCTGTTTTAAACACATTCCCCTCCAGTCATGACCCAGACCCACCCACACACACACACACACACACACGCACGCACACACACACACACCCACACTCTCTCTACACACACACACACACTCTCTCTCTCTACACACACGCACACACCATCACGGCTGGTTTCCTGTTAAGCATGATAGCTGCTGTTGCTTTTTTGTTCTATTAACTTTGAAATCCGAGTAGCAGCATTATGAGTTGGGAAATGTCTGACACACACACTCACCGACACACTGCTGGGTGGGAGTTTGCCGGTATCCAGGTTTACACTCACAACGGAAACTTCCAGGAACGTTCAGACAGACGGCGTTCTGCTGACACACCGGACCGTTCTGACACTCGTCAATATCTGCACACACACACACACATATCACCAACATACTTAAAAGGTGCGGGCTCTAAGAATGACAGCTAGTGGTGAAAATAGGTACTGCAGTCCAAATTCAAAACATTCGTCAAAGATATTATGGTATTTTTATGCTTTCGTAGAGTGAAAAGTTGCATACAGCACCTGTAACATCACACACAGAGCATCTCATGTGGAAAAAAATCATTTCATTTCTCATAGATTGTTAATCTAGAACCCGTCACACACAGCGCCGTCACTCATTCGGCTGTTTCCGTTGCAAACTGGAGACTCCAGAATCAGACGAGGATAAATGAGCTTTCAGAGACACAGATGGAGCTCTTACCCTCACAGATCAGCAGCTTGTCATTATAAACGAAACCCATCGGACATTCACAGCGGAAACTGCCGACAATGTTGATACACACGCCGTTAGCACACAGGCCAGGGATCTCACGGCACTCGTCGATGTCTGCGGATCACAGACACACACACAGGGTGGATGTGAAGTCTTAGAGGGACGTGTGGACACAGAACTGTGTGTTTATCTTTAAGTGTGTGTGATGAATGTGTTTACCAATGACTCGTCCAGTGTAGATGTCAATGAAATATCCCGGTCTCTCACTTCCACACAGCACAGCGAACTCATCTGCAGCAGAGAACCATGTCACGGTCATGACTGTGTGTGTGAGTGTGTGTGTGTGTGTGTGTGTGTGTGTGTGCCGAATCCCTGACGATATTCAAGAAACAGCCTCTTTCTTCTACGCTTCCACTGTTTCACTGAAATCCCTCCCTGTTTACTTCTAGACAATGTTTGAAACTTTGCTCTTCTTGTGTTAATGTCTCAATCACTCAAGCTTGTTTCCACCACAGAATAAAAAAAAAATTGCTACTTTTTATCTCACAATTGCGAGTTTACATCTCACAATTCTGACTTTAAATCAATTGCGTGTTACAAGGTCAGAATTGCGACATATAAACTCACAATTGCTTGTTATAAAGTCAGAATTGTGTGATATAAAGTCGCAATTGTGAGGAATAAACTCACAATTCTGACATTTTTTCTCAGAATTGCATGTTTAAATCTCGCAATTCTGACTTTATAACATGCAATTGCATTAGAACTGGACTCTCACAAGTGACCCTTCGCAGGGAGTTTGATTGACAGGCGATCTGACCAATCATAATCCGCCATTTTTGTCCGACAGAGCAGTCAGGAGAGTTAGTAGACTAACATTGGAGGATTTTAACTTGAGAAGCGGAGTGTCCTGACGTCTTTCCACGGTTAAAACAACATTCCTTCTGATATTCATTCATGTTTATTTGATGCTATAAATAACTAGAAGGAAGAGATGATCGGAGTAGCTTTAACTGAGCGATCTGTCTGACACATTAAACAGCCACAAAACGGTATTTATTGTATAAATTTCTTTTAAAAAATTACCAAATTTGAAAGGTTAGACTTTGTTACATATCAAAAGTAAGCTGGTCTGTGTCAGTGTGTTGCCAGTGTCCTCTGCTCCGCGTTGTGTGTTTCACTAAGAACATGTGTGTGTGAGAGGCGTGGCTTGTCGGACATAGCAACAGTAACTAAAAGGGGCGGGTCTTCGCGAACGGTCAATTGTGAGAAAAGATGTCAGAATTGTGAGATATAAACCCGCAATTGCGAGAAAAAAGTTAGAATTGCGAGTTTATTTCTCGAAATTGTGACTTTATATCATGCAATTCTGACTTTATAAGACTCAATTGTGAGTTTATATCTCGCAATTCTGACCTTGTAACACGCATTTGAACTAAAGTCAGAATTGCGAGATGTAAACTCGCAATTGACCTATGGCTAAGCCACGCCCCCAAACGCGATGAGCCAATCAGTGCGCATAGCTAACCCAATACACTCGGACATTCTCTGCTTCCACGTCCATTGAAATGCATTGCAGTTAGTCAGTTTTCATCCGTTGTTATGTGTTTTTTCTTGTCATTTTAAGTTAAAAATGGTCAAACGGTGTGCATGGGGTACATGCAACTCCGACACTAGGTATCCCCAGAGGCTGGGCGATGGTGTGTAATTTTTACCCTTTCCCAAGCCACATCTCAACCGAGATAAGTGTCTGCTCTGGATTAAGTTATGCGGTAACGTTAGACCACAACACCAACTAAACGTGGATAAATAAAAGACTTAAACAAGGATGTCTACATCTGTTCTAAGTCAACAGCGTGTTTGAACGTTATCTTTAACATCTCTAACGTAACGTTAGCTTAAAACATTAACGTTAGCTTCTAGCTGCGTTGTACATCATGTCACTTAGCTTCATTAACGTATCTGTAAATAACCGAGATAACAAATGTTAGCAATGTTGTGCTGAATGATTCATGTAAATACTGCAGTGCATGAACAATGCTGATCCTCCATCTTGTTGTCTGAGATGGTGATGGCAACGAGATGCGGTTTATCACGTTTACACTGTGACTTGTACATTTTTGCCTGGAGCTGAAGCTTTTCATAGACCTTCTCAACAATAAAATTATTAATATAACCCTCCAATGCATAGTTAATGCCCTTTTGGTGACTTCGAGATGATATATAATCTTTCTGTCTCCAAAAATAACCAATTGCCTCCTGTGGAATGTCTCCTACTGTGACGGCGCCTGTCCCCGAATGTTGACTGTGTGTCCGAGTGAGTGGAGGGGGCGTGGCTTAGCCATAGGTCAATTGTGAGATAAAAAGTAGCAATTATCTTTTAAAATGTTTTATTCTGTGGCGGAAACAAGCTTCCATATATTCCTCATTTGCTTTGGGTGAAAGCGTCTGCTAAATGAACAGATGTGAGGTGTGTGTCTCACTGGTGCTGGGAACGGGACAGCGCTCGCAGGGTTTGTTCCAGGCCCGGCCGATGTTGTACGAGCAGCAGCAGAACTTCTTGGTCATGTTGAAGGTGAGTTCTCCATCACAGGTGGCGTTATCAGAGTAGTAGTTCCTGTAACACAAGCTCTTCCGCATGTCTGAACACACACACACCACAAGATTCAAAAGTGTTTCATATAAAAGCAGTGTGATTTTCATTTATTTTATTAACATTAATGAAACAGACGGCAACAGTTTATGAGGCTGCAGTCCCTTTAAGAATGAATGCACGGATCTAATATACTGTTACACATCCGATTTTCTCCTAAATGTTTACATTCGCGTAGGATATAACAGTTTGTGTTTACATGAATACTCCCCACGATATGCATTTTGACACAATTATGTGTGTATTTGACCATTAGTTCTGAAAGAGAACTGAATTCGGGTTCACGTGGATCTGAGTCCTTTTTCGCGGCTTATTGTGATTTAATAAAACTATAACGTGTCTATAACTTCAAGAAGTAATGCAAAGTAAAAGAATCGATTTTTGAAATTAGTGAATCGATGCGAATTGATAGAAGAAAGAATCGAGATTCATATTTGAATCGATTTTCTCCCCCAGTCCTAATAAATATAACGATAACTATACTGTTAATTATTAACGAAAACTGTAATGATAATCATTGTGCAGACTCACCCATGCAGTTGTTTCCCCCGTTGATCTGCATGTACTCCGGTGGGCAGATGCAGGTGTAGTTTCCAATAGTGTTGTAACACTGACCCGGACCACAGATGCCAGGCCGCTCACACTCATCCACATCTACACACACAATAGATATTTTCATTCGTACATTTTAAACAGTCACATTTCACTTCTAACTGGTCCAGATTGACATCGCGCCTATGTCCGTTGTTGAGTCAAAGCGAATGTTGTCGGAAGTAGTGCATTCATTTACTATCAGTATCACTAATTATAATGGGCTGCAGCACTTATGTGTTTATATCATGTGACTTTAAATGTTAATAAGAGTCATTCAATCGTAGTCACACAGGGTCGACAAGCACACCATTTTGTCTTTTGCTTGGTTTCTGAATCTGTCACTTTGCTCTTGGTGGCCACGCCCACAGAGGTCCAGTCAAGAGTTTGGGATCGGAAAGATATTTTATGTTTTTAAAAGTCTCTTCTGCTCACCAAGGCTGCATTTATTTGATTAAAAATACAAAAAAAACAGTATTATTGTTAAATATTATGACAATTAAAAATAACTGTTTTCTATTTTAATATATTTTAAAGTGTAATTTATTCCTTTGATCAAAGCTGAATTTTCAGCATCATTACTCCAGTCTTCAGTGTCACATGATCCTCCAGAAATCACTCTAATATGATGATCTGATGATCAAGAAACATTTATGATTATTATCAGTGTTGAAAGCAGTTGTGTACAATTTGTTTTTCAGGATTCTTTGATGAATAGAAAGTTTAAAAGAACAACATTTCTCTGAAATAGAATCTTTTGTAACATTATAAATGTCTTTACTGTCACTTCTGATCAATTTAATTCATCCTTGATGAATAAAAGTATTGATTTCTCTCTGTTTAAAATTGTAATAATATTTCACAATATTAGCGTTTTCTTTTTGTATTTTTAATCAAATAAATGCAGCCTTGGTGAGCTGAAGAGACTTTTAAAAACATAAAAAATCTTACCGATCCAAAACTTTTGACTAATAGTGTATATTAAGCTTCAAATGTGTCCTGATTGGCTGAGATTTTTGCAGCTTATTTTTATTTTATGATTGTTTAGTTTTCTGTCTGGTTTCTCGAAAGCTTTCTATCTGCACAGCTGCTTTGAAACAGCGTACTGTGTGTAAAGCACTATATAAATGAAACGGACTTGACTTGGTAAGCAAGACAGAAAGAGTGTGTGAAAGAGGACGTTCGCCTGACCTTCACAGATACGGGTGTCTCCGTTGAGTTCGAAACCTTTCGGACATTCACAGTGAAAACTGCCAAACGTGTTGATGCAGTTTCCTCCCTGACACAGACCAGGCAGCTCCTGACACTCGTTGATATCTGACACACAGACACAACAGTCAACACACAGCACTGGAGAACGGGTGTGTGTGTGTGTGTGTGTGAGTGTGTGCACTCTAGATCTACCCTCTAGTATCACCGTGATCGGATTGGGTCGGAATCCTTCTCCTCCGGGACACAGAATCTTGTACTCGGCTGAGGGAGGAACATTAACAATAAGTGAACAAAACGCGAGCTTATTTATGTGTGTGTGTGTGTGTGTGAGAGACTCACAGGAGTTGAGCAGTGGGCAGGTCTCGCAGGGTGACCCCCAGGCCTGACCCAGGGAACAGCAACAGGACGCTTTGGACACGCCGACGCCGATCTCAGTGGAGCAGCTCAGACTGTCCGAGCCGTCACCCCGACTGTGGACCTCCAGGAAGCAGGTTCCAGAGCGAGTGTCTGCAACACACACACACACACACACACACACACACACACGACATCATGAGCTGAAGCTGTTTGGAGCTGAACCTGTCTCACTCATTGTTAATTTTGACAGCAAATTTTGATTTAGTTTTAGTCAAAGTCTTTTGTCAACGAAATTAACACTGGTCTCACCAACACATTTCCAAACCCATTATAATCTCCTGGAGAAAACATCTGTTAACCTGTTAATATGAATGATTTTAAAGTTTGAACAAAATCCCCAGTGTTAAATTAATGTTAAAACACAACCAAACCCATCAGATCACCTTTTTTATTTGTGATCTGGCTGTTATAACTCAGGTACAGCAGCCAAACAAAATCTAAAGTTAATGATTCAGGGTCCAGAGCCCAACTAAAGCAAACACTGATCAGCATAATGGTGACCTAAACATTATAGTTTTCTCCTTTAGTGATTCTGCTTGTTACCATCAGGTGTCTTCAATAATGCTCAATCATCACTCAATTATTCACTTAATTATCTAATTTACTTTAACACTGCTTCAGTGTTTATTTAACACTCTGCTCAGAGTTTATATACTTCACACTCTCAGTGTTAATTTAACACTGGGGATTTTGCTGTGCAGACACAGATTTGACTGCACAAATATCTTAAAATGAAATAAAACCACTTCTTCTAAAGTAGAACACAGTCTTCTTTTCAATAAATTGTATATGCATTCTTTATATCATTCTTTATTCTTTTAAGCAGACATATTTATTTGTATAAATTAAATATAATTAATCCTTATTAAAGCTGTTAAAGAGCAGCGAATGCTTTTCTCAATTCAAATGTGCGCATCTGTGTATTTTAAAGATAATTTAAGTTTATACCATGGTCTGGGTGAATACTCGATTCTGATTGGCTGCAGGGTGTCCATTAAAAAGTGATAGAGGACACCTAGAAAAGGAGTTCTGGTGTAATCAGGGAAACCAAGTTATTGTTTGTAAAAACTTTAGATTTCGGCTGTAAAACTAATTAAAATATAAACTAATGTTTTAAAAATGTGTTATTTGGTATAAGCGGGTTAATGCCCTTCGAGGCTGTGCGTCGGACGGTTCACGCCTCGCCGTCGTACATTAATACCTGACAATGGACACCTCGAAGGGCCTTAACCCTTACTTATTTTACACACTTACTTTACAGCTTTATTGTATCACATATCGAATATCGCATTGTTTAATGAGTTATCGCATATTGAATTTTTCTTCAATATCATGCAGCCCTAGTGCACATTTTGTCATTCAAAACTGGTTTTTATTTAGTTATCGTCTCGTTTTCGTCTGTGAGAAAATGTCGTTGGCGAGAATAATGATTGGTCAGTGAAGTGAGCCCTGTCCTCACCGACGCAGCCGACTCCCGTGGGGTTGAGCTCGAAGTCCGCAGGGCAGCTGCAGATGTAACTGCCCGCTGTGTTCAGGCACAGCCCACTGATGCAGGTGGTCGGGTTCAAACACTCGTTCACATCTGACATGGAGAGGAAGAAGAGGAAGAAAAGAGGGATGAGAGGAGAGGACAGGTCACATGTGTCACAGGGATATTCAAATGAAATGACCCATCATACCACTGATCAGCTCTACCAAACTTGGATGTCTTTTTCCAGTAATAAACAAACACTGTGACGTTGTTTTGATTGATATTGTGAAGCAGCTTTGATACAATCTGTATTGTGAAAAGCGCTAAATATATTTGACTTGACGTGTAGGGTTGGGAATCGAAAACCGATTACATTTATGCATTTGGCAGACGCTTTTATCCAAAGCGATTCACATTGCATTTCAAGGCACACATTTACATTCTTATCAGTTCTTGCTTTCCCTGGGGATCGAACCCGTGACCTTGGTGTTGCAAGCGCCAGCGCTCGACTGTTTGAGCTACAGCAAAATATAAAATTTACATTTTGATTCCTCTGCACTTCAATATGACTATAGACTGTTTTCTGTTCTGCACGC